GAACCGAAAGATACCTATAGCTTCTTTTTTTTTTTTTTTTTCCGGTACAGATTTATATTTTTATCCAAAAAGAAACATTTTAATTACTTCTATTTTCATTTGGTGTGTTCAATATGCTAAAGCTCTGCTTTGTCTAGTATCGCATGAAGCTTACTGTTTGGTGGGTTAGACATTTTGGAAAGATTAAAAAAAGGAAGGTGGGAGGGGAGTGCTTGATGGGAGTGAAAATGAGAAGTTGGAAATGGTGCAATGAAAATGAGAGTTGTATACAATTTCATATTTTGTTACACTTAACATGCGTTGGCCATTAATTGGTTCAGAATCTTCTGTTTTAATTATTAGTTGTTCATTTTCCCAACACAGCCACCTGTCCTATAGGTTTACCTGTGGAGCATTTCTCACTGTTTTTTTGGCAGAGATTCATCTCAAAGCACAGTTCTTAAATTGTCTTTGTTTTTATATCGTCTCCTGATATCAAAAAAGGCAAATCTTTTTCAGTTTCTTTTTCAGATTATTTATGGAGCCCTATAATCGTTAATCATATTATTATAGTTTCTGCTGCACTACCTCTGACAATTTACTTCTAATATTCATGCAGATCAACGCCTCAATGATATTGTTGGCAGTGCCTACTATGTTGCCCCTGAAGTGCTCCATAGATCTTACAGTGTTGAAGCAGACTTGTGGAGCATCGGAGTTATTACATACATATTGTTATGTGGAAGCAGACCCTTCTGGGCACGCACTGAATCAGGCATCTTCCGGTCTGTGCTGAGAGCTAACCCTAACTTCGATGATTCACCTTGGCCATCAATATCACCTGAAGCTAAAGACTTTGTAAAGAGGCTTTTGAACAAGGACCATAGAAAAAGGATGACTGCTGCCCAAGCTCTAGGTATGTTGCGTTAGAGTGTTCTGCTCAGACCTTGCTTGACTTGATAATTGAATCTTTGCAATCAAAATGCACTCTCTCTCACACACACGTCCAGGTTTAGCTTTATGACTTTTATTGATGAAGACGTACCTGCATATTTGCAGCTCATCCATGGTTGAGAAATGAAAAACTTGCCATTCCATTAGACATTTCAATCTTCAAGTCAGTCAAGTCATATGTGCGAGCCACACCTTTCAAACGCGCAGCACTGAAGGTAGTCACCTGTTATACAGCCGTTAAACAAATATACCTTATATCTTAAATGTAATGTTATCTTCTTTCTTTTTTATACAATAATTATGCAGGCTCTCTCAAAAGCGCTGACAGAAGATGAACTCGTCTTTCTAAGAGCACAATTTAGCCTATTAGAGCCAAACAATGGTTTTGTTTCCCTTGAGAATTTTAGAGCGGTTAGTTGTTGGTTTTACAATTCTATTTCTTTTGACATTGAGAGGGTGTTTGTAACATACAAGGTTACTGTAATCTGTGTTTCGTATGGAGTTTGCATTTTACAGTTGATTCTAGCTGTTATTGTTACCACATTCTATCAACTAAAATCAAAGGAAAATGCAGGCTCTCGTGAAAAATGCTACTGATACCATGAAGGAATCAAGGGTCCCCGAAATTTTAAATTTGGTGAGACATCTTTGATTTTTCTCTGTTTTTCATAGATGTATTCAATTAAGGATACATCCTGCCTTCTCCTTTTCACCGCTAAAATCTTTTTCTCCCAGCCTAGCTTATAGCATTTCTAGCAAGATTTGTCAATCATATAATTACCTGAAAAATAGCCGCATGATATAATTTGTCAAAGATAGTTACTGTTCTAGTTTGAGCATTCAAGCAAATTCAAGCGGACTTTGACCATTTGTCATTTCCTACCAAACTAGATTTATTAATAAATAATTGTAAATGTTATCATTTCTATCCTTATGAAACTGTATGGTTCTCTTGTGCAAGTCTCTTATGCTGAACTGCACATTTCTTTATTTAAGATGGAGCCGCTGGCTTATAAAAAACTGGATTTTGAAGAGTTTTGTGCCGCCACACTCAGTGTATACCAACTTGAGGTTCATGAAAACTGGGAGAGAATTGCAACTACTGCTTTTGAGCATTTCGAACGGGAAGGAAGCAGAGTCATTTCAGTTGAGGAGTTGGCGCAGGTATGCATGCTTCTGTAAGAGCAACTATACTTGATCATTCCATTAAGTCATAAACCCAACTGACTTTTTGAATAATACGTTTCAGGAGATGAATCTGGGTCCTTCAGCTTACACCGTACTAAGTGATTGGATCAGGAAATCTGATGGAAAACTAAGTTTCAATGGATATACCAAGTACTTGCATGGTGTCACAATACGAAGTTCAAATCCCAGACCACGACAGCTAGTATGATTAAACTCACCATAGTCTTTTATTATTATCATTGGAATTAGTCTGTGTCTACTTTCTTCCCCATTTCTTTCCTTTTAATATTTTATTTTAAAAGGAAACGGTACAAAAGGACTCTATATATTTTTTTATTTGTTATGGGTGGGCGGAGGATTGAGGGAAAATATAGAGCTAACATATTGTTGTATTCCTTGGCATGTAATTTGCGTGCGAAGTAAAGTTGTCCTTCAATTTTACATGTGAGCACAGATTGCACATGGCATCTTGTGAGGGATTGAGGGATTTCGTGTGGAGATTAAATACGTGTTTCTATTATAGTCAAAAACCAATTCATGGCTCCACTGGTCACGGTGATGATAGTCCTTCAAGAACAAGGATTGAGATAGAGAAACACAAGAATACCTATAGAAAATTGTAAGTCAAACATTGTTTTTTAAATGATTGGATTGCTATAAAGAATTCGCCACATTTGTTCTTAGTCCCATGCCTCTCTGTTTGTCCGTGCCTCAACAAATTGGTCAAAGTTAGAGACGTGCCCCAGGATGGCAAGCCAAATGGCCTACTGTAGCTTGTGAACGACCGCAGGTAAAAGCTTGAACAGCAGTGTCGTACATATCTTGAGATTAGCTTTTTAAATCCCTATGACGTTGTCCAAGTCTTGTGCTACAATTTTTTTCTCATTGATTTATCAGAACCATAACAACCACCGATAGGGACAAGGAAGCTGAGGTAAGAACTGGGATGATAAAGATTCACATGTATAAAACTCATTCCCCAAACAAAAGAGATGAGATGTCCATTGTTATCTGAAGAATTTAAAAAATGCGCTCGTCCCCGGAGTACGTCAACTCCATAAAGTGAGGATTAGTTGTTCCTGGCTTGAATGAACATTTAGAACATTAAAAATTGAAAAAAAAAAAAAAAGTGCTTACCAGAATTAAAGGCTCGGACCCAGATTGGAATTGGCCGGCAAAGTTGATGAGACTGGTTCAACTGTTGAAGCGATGTTCACGAGAGCAGAGGCGGCTCACATAGGGCCAATAATAAATGGTGGAATCCCACTTGCTTCCCTGGAAATTTTTTTTAGTATGTAAATTCACTGAATAATTTTGCTTGGCCGTTAGAACAGAAGGATAAGGAGGAAGAAAATTTCCTCTGGTACAGCAAATAAACACGATGATATTACGTCTGGATTTCGGCGATTGACTGAATCCCTAGAATTCTTCATTTCAAACGGATTGAGTGATTCCCCCGTCAAAATTCCCTCTTCGTGGAAACACCTGAACCAGGAATGATTCTATGAAATAGTCTCATTTCGACGATTTTTTTTTAATACAAATATCGACAATTTTATTTTTCCGTATTTGGTTTTTTAGACGACAAAATGTCTAGGTAAGTTAGGCCCTATATTTGACTTTCAAATTACAATGATATCTGATGAATTAATCTTAATAAACAACAAATTCTATGTTCATCGAATGCCAAAAAATTCAACTTCATTGAAGTTATCTGATTAAACAAACCTACTCATTCTGACATTAATATAGGAAGTTACATACTTCCATATATGCATGTGCCTGTGTTTCCAAATCTTAATGAAAAAGCTATACACTTTCATTTGTTTTTAAGTTATCCATATCCTTTAAAAATAAATATTACAATATATAACAGTTTAATCTTGAACTTTTTTTATTACAATGCCTTCTAGTAACTTAAAAATTAAACCAATAAATATTCAGGCGGCAAGAGTAACGGCCAAAACCGAAAAAATCTCTAGTCTCTAATATAATGAAAAAAATAAATAACAAAAAACGAGTTTAGATTATACTAGTACAACATACTTTTTTCCTTAAAAAAGAAGAAGCAAATATAAAACATCTGGCCCCAAAAAAATCTATCTACTATCTCTTATCTTAATTATAAGACCTCATTTGTAGACCGAGATCTTATAATTAGAATAGAAGATAGTATAATAACAAAAATACAAAAAAAATTATGGACTGGTCAGAAATTGCTTATAGTTGTGAAAGAACGACATACTGGCATGCTTGTTGTTTTGTTTGAATGTTGCTGAAACAAGAAGGGCATAGAGACCAGAGAGAGAGAGAGAGAGATGTGAAGAAGGACAGAGACAAGTGGGACAGTTTGCCCTTAAAACCATTCACCAAACTTATAAGAAATCCCAAATTAAAGGCAAAGCCACAAACTCATACTTTGATTAGAATACACAGAAAGCAACATCACAGCAGCCCAAGACACAAACACCACACATCACTTTGTCCCTATGGTCCCTTCCATATTCCCATCTCTGTCCTCTTTTTACACCACACAAACCAACCAAACACATTTCTTCTGTATCATCCCTTAATAATTATGTTCTTCTTTATAACCCTTCTTGTTCGCACTTTCACGTTCATACGCATTATCACAGTACAGCTGATGAGATCGCCCATACGAGAGAGAGAGAGAGAGAGATCGCAGAAAAAATATATATATACATCTATATATATATATATATATATAGCATCCTAGTTTTGTCATTGATATAAACAATAGCAAGAACACAGACAAATGCTAACACAACTCTTTCGTCATTATCCTCTCTACACCACATTCTCGGTGTTGCAGAAATCAAGAAAAAACCGAAAAAGAAAAAGAAAAGGAATCATGTTCATATAGTTCTTTGTCTGCTGGCATGTGTGTATATATATATATATAGGGTAACTGATGAATCAAGCTTTGAAGCACCAAGTGTGATGGTGGTGGTGGCTGTGGTGGTGGTGGTGGTGGTGGTGGGGGTTTTCCTTGTCGATGATGCCTTGGACGGTGCGGAACTGCTCCACATGGCAGGGAATAGTGATGGGACCCTTCTGATCAAAGCCATATTCTTCCTCCGCCTGCTTCAGAAGCTGCATGAAGAGAGGGTGGTTGATGTAGATCACCGGAATCACGAACCTCTGCTGTTCCTCTCCTTGACCCACCAAAATCGCCAGACAACCTTTCGGAATATCCTTCAGATCGTCCTTCTTCTCGTGGTGGTGGTGGTGGTGCAGAAAGTGGATGTGAGGAAGATGAACATGAAAATTAATCAGAGGATGATGATGATGTTTCTGATTCTGAATGTTACCGTTACCGTTACCGGTACTGTTACTATCTCCACCAGCAGCGAACCCCATGTTGAAGAGCTTAATCCCAGGAAAAAGGTCGAAGCAGATCAAGAAAGACGGAGAGAGAAAGAAAGAAAAGAAAAAGGGTTTGAAGACGAGGGCTATAAGAAGAAAAGAGAGAAAGGCCAGGGATCAGAAGCAGAAATGGCGAGAGAGAAGAGGGCCAGGGAAGAGTCAGTGAGAGATCTGGGGATATTGCTCATGATAAAAAGTAGAAGCAGAGAGAAAAACCCTACATAAGAAAGGAGGAAGACGAAGAAGAAGGAGGAGGAGGATTTGGGAGGGGCGGAAGGTGAGGTATATATTGGTGGGGGTGAGAACTGTGCGGGGGTTATGATGTCACGATGCTTCTGGCTTTGTTTGGACACAATCGTTTCCTACTGTGATTTCTAGAGTCCCCCAAAAAGAAGTTATTATTCTCGCCGTCCTTCACACTTACGGAATATTTGTTAATTGTTAATTTCCCCTTTTCACTGTGTGTTCTCCATTTCTGTCCCAATCAACGTTGCTGGAAAATAATAATAATATATTTGTTTGGATTCTGGGATCATAATTTTTGTAATTATAATTTTGAGTGTACATATACAAATTCAAAAAAAATGTTCACCACAACATAGTATTATTATCTTGATATTGTTTAGATTTGATTTAGACAGTTTGATTTTTTTGTTTTTGAGTTAGTGATTTTTGGAAACTTTTTTTTCCTTATCTTAAGTGGGATAGAATATAAGAGAATATCAATATTGTAATTAATATAAAGAATTGTAAAAATAAACTCTTCTTTTTTTCGATTGAGACAAAACAAAAACAAAACTATCCAACTACATCATAAAGAAGAAAAGTGGAAAGAAAGTCAGGCGGTGTACTAAAGAAGACAGCTCCCACGGCAATCTGAGTGGCCTCCTTCGCTAATGCATCAGCAGCTCCATTTACCTCTCTACTGCACCAGTCTAACATAACAGACCAATCTCTTGTCATCCATTCCTGAATCTCTGAAAGTAACTGTTGCTCATGGTGATCTTCGGTCCAGCCATGAGCTATCAAGTTCGTCGCCTCCCAGCAATCCGTTTCTATCACTATTCGTCGCCAATGCATATCCCAAGCATGCTTCAGAGCCCATGCAATACCCCACAGTTCTGCATGAAGACTAGAACCCCTCCCAAGATTGCACATGAACCCACCAAGAAACATACCGTCGTGATCCCGAGCAAGGCCTCCGCACGCTGCTACCCTTGTACCCTGTACATAAGCTCCATCAACATTAATTTTAATAACTCCCACGAAAGGTGGCACCCACCAACGATCCTGTCTTCCTCTAGTGAGCAGCTCACTCACTCCCGTATTCATCCACACCACCACCGCACCGGTCCTACACAGCACTTCCTGGTACCCCACTGCCTTCCCGTCAAAAATCCCAGCGTTTCTATTCAACCAAATTTGTCTACACAACACCCCAAACCAAATGTTCCATTTCGCATTATGCACCATGGCTGTTTGACCCAAGTTCCATTACACCCATGCCTCTGCATTCCCTAACGTAGAGAACCTGCCCCAAAACTGAGATGGCATCAGACTCTCCCAGCACTTTCGTGCGACAGAGCAATCACGGAGGGCATGCAAAATATCTTCCACATGGTGCCCACAAAGACCACACGATGCGTCTGTCTGCATTCCCCTCTTGGCTCACGAGTTATTAGTCATAAGACGACACCACACACACAACCAAAGAAACAAACGAACTCTTTGAGGCACTTGAAGTTTCCACACCTTGCGCCAAACCCCATGGTACCTATTATTGTGCCTATCAGACACCAAAGAGTAAGCTGACTTGACAGTAAACTCACCACTGCTGTGCAACCGCCAAACAGGTACGTCTTCCTCATTCTTATTAATAGTAGGATAAGCTCTACTAATATCCTGCAATATGCCCGTAGGTAACAAGGATCTCAACCTGTCCCACTGCCAACCCCTAGACTCAGAAATATACTTCTAATTCTTAATGTAAGACCTAATGAACTAATTTAAGTAAATTAAGAATGATAATTCAATTCGTAAATATGATAGATTTTTTTAAAAAATACGATAACTATTTTTTTTAATTTTTTCCTTCATCTCCTGGTTGATTATTGTTGAGAAAATATTAATAGGTTAATTTAAAATAAATAAATAAATAAATGAAATAAATCTTATATATATGAGCAATATTAACTCTTTGATTATGCCTTCCATTAAGAATTAAAGGATTAATATATAAGGCGCAGATTAAAGAATAAAACCTCGAATGTTGACCGTGAAATTGAAAGAATATAAGTAGAATGATCACGAGAAAAAAAAGAGAGGGGGAAATGACCACAAAATACCCTCTAAATTTTACAATGACAAAAAAGGCATCCAAATAAGCAAAATGACAAAAAAGGCATCAGGTACCAATCTGGAATTTTGATCTTTGACCTAATGACCGAATTGCCTTGATGAGTGAGGTAAAAAAGAGCTGAAAATGAGAAGAAAGCAAACAGAGGAAGACGCTGATGAAACACGGGAAGAAGAAAAGAAGAATGTTGGAAATGTTATTATTTTACTCTTCCGCATCACTATTCTGTAAACATTGTGATTTGGTGGGTTTTGGTTGTGGGAAAGAGGATTTGTAGTAAGAGAGGGAGTGAACCCGTGGGATTACGTGAGTGAGTAGAAGTTGATAGCGGGATTTGGATTATTCATTTTTGTGGCTGCTTCATGGTAAAATAGAAACAGAATTATTACATTTGAGGGTTTATATTCAGTATTTGGTGAATGATGAAGCAAAAATCAGAAAATGGTGGTAAGCAATTACGTAATGTAACTGCTATCATAGGCCTGCTCGTTTTTGGTAAATACCATTACGTGAATGGTAGATTTTATTATACATGTAGTTAATTATGAAAGTTAATAGTTCAATGTTTATTATGATGTACTTTAGGTGCACGTTCACTAAATGATTTATTTATGCATACAAGTTGCCCTTTCGGTGAAAACAGGTTTACAAAACCCATTAAAGAAGTAGTCGCTTTCACTATAAAAGTTGTAAATCCCGTTATGTATTTTGTAAAATTCAGCATGAAATTTTATTAGTAGTAAAAAACAAGTTACTCATCCCCCAAAAATATGTTGCAAAACCTATTAACAAAGCGGTCACTTTTACTACGAAAGTTGTAAATCCCAATATATGCTTTGTAAAATTCAGCGTAAAATTTTATTAGTTTTTAAAAACAAGTTGCCCAATGCCCATTCCCTGAAAACAGGTTGCAAAAGCCATTTAAGAAGTGGTCATTTTCACTATAAAAGTTGTAAATCTCACTCTGTGTTTTGTAAAATTCAGCGTGAAATTTTATTGATTTTTAGAAACAAGTTGCCCATCCCCTGAAAAGAGGTTGCAAAACCCATTTAAGAAGTGGTCATTTTCACTACGAAAGTTGTAAATCCCACTATATGTTTTGTAAAATTCAGCATGGAATTTTATTGGTTTTTAGAAACAAGTTGTTCATCCCTTGAAAACATGTTGCAAAACCTATTGAAGAAGTGATCATTTTCACTACAAAAGTTGTAAATCCCACTATGTGTTTTGTCAAATTTAGCATGAAATTTTATTAGTTTTTAGAAACAAGTCGCCCATCCCCTAAAAACAGGTTGCAAAACCCATTGAATAAGTGGTCATTTTCACTACGGAAATTGTAAATCCCACCATATGTTTTGTCAAATTTAGCGTAGAATTTTATTAGTTTTTACAAACAAGTTGTTTATCTCCTGAAAACATGTTGCAAAACCTATTAACAAAGTGGTCACTTTCACTACGAAAGTTGTAAATCCCAGTATGTGTTTTGTAAAATTCATGACAAATGGTTTAATAATACTAGAAAACCAGACAGCTTCACATTCCTTGAAAACAGTTTTATGTGAAGAACAGAGACAGAACCAGAAAGAGGAATGCTAGACAATAACATTTTAAGCTTTGGGGACCTATCGAAAATGCTCTATGAAGAATAATATTTAAGCTTCCTACTTGTTCATCACAGTTGGCGTTATTTTAGCGACCTCTTCTACAGCGACAATCTCAAGGAGTACGAGTTATTTCAGACAGGGCAATATATTTCAACAATGGTAACCAAATTCAGTGACGGCAATCTACTCCTGCGACGGCAGCAATGTGATTTCAAAGAACCTTTTTTGGTGACCAAAGGAACTTAGATTTAGTTTCGTCAAAGGAAATCAATTTCTCCCTTTCTCTATCGCACGAATATACTGCTCATTGTTTAGAGACAATCAGGATATTTTAGTCTTTATACAAAAAGTGCAAATTCCAAATCAATACCTCATGCCTATTTGGTCATTTTGCTTATTTAGATGACTGTTTTGTCATTTTGAAATTCAAAAAGTATTTGGTGGTCATTTTCTCAAAAAAAAACATAATTAAATTCGTGAAAGACCTGCGTTGGCCCAAAAAAAATCATGAAAGATCTGGCCAAGGGATATTTCTTGGCCTCTCATATTGACTCCTAATATATTACCCTCCAAAAACGCATAAATTATTTAATTAGTTTAAAAATTAATAAAATAAAAAAAGTACTAGAAACAGTTGGGCAAATAAATTCTGATTAATTCATCTTCAGAAACACTTTTTAAATATTTATAATAATACAAATGATATTTGATTAATTATTTAAAATATACAAGTCACGTTTTTATGAGAACATCTTGGAGTCACAAAAATATACTCGTCTAATCCTTAATATAAGATCCATTTAACTAATTTGATTAGATTAAAGAAGTTAAGTAAGTTAGTTAATTATCCTAAAACACCATAATCATCTTTCTTAATACCCCATCTCTCTCTTCTACTTGATTATGGTTGAGGGAGTATCCATAGGAGTAATTTAGAGAAAATTAATAAATATGAGAAATAGACTTTATATTTAGGATCAAAATCAACTCAAAAATTGAGTCCTATATTAAAAACCAGAGAAGAAGTATTTAGTGCTTCTCACATAGCGTGGCATTTCTGAAAAGAAAATTGACAGGAGGAAACAATCGAGGGAGTTTGGCAGCTACACAGTAGTAATACCAACCAAATAAAAAAAGTAATTCTACGTCACAAATAAATACATATTCTCCGGCAAAAAAAAAAAAACACATCCGTCCTTGCAGCAACATAAAGAAAATTCTTGATTCTTGATTCTGTTTAAGTAGTTTTAAATATAAGACTTGTTTTATAGTGTAAATTATATTATAAA